GAATTGTGTAAGACTGTTGAATCACAGACCTGTACCTCTGAAACAAATAATACATTGTATGTTAAAAAAAAAAAAAGATAGCAGGAAGGGAAGAATGAAGGGGGGGAAATCGGAGGGGGAGATGAACCATGAGAGACTATGGACTCTGAGAAACAAACAGGGTTCTAGAGGGGAGGGTTTGGGGGGATGGGTTAGTCTGGTGATGGGTATTAAAGAGGGCACGTACTGCATGGAACACTGGGTGTTATACACAAACAGTGAATCATGGAACACTACATCAAAAACTAATGATGTAATGTATGGTGATTAACACAACATAATTAAAAAAAAGGAACATGCAAATCAAAACTACAATGAGGTATCACCTCACTCCTGTCAGAATGGCTAAAATAAAAAACACAAGAAATAAGTGTTTATGAAGGTGTGGAGAAAGAGGAATCCTTTTGCACTGTTGGTGGGAATGCGTATTGGTACAACCACTGTAGAAAACAGTATGGAAGTTCCCTAAAAAATTAAAAATAGAACTACCCTACAATCCAGTAATTGCACTACTGGATATCTACCCCTAAAATACAAAAACACTAATTCAAAGGGTTATATGCACCCCTGTGTTTATAGCAGCATTATTTACCATAGCCAAATTATGGAAGTAGCCCAAGTGTCCATTGATAAATGAATATATAAAGAAGATATGGTGTGTGTGTATTAATATTTTATCTATATCTGTCTATCTAGATCTATATAATGGGATATTATTCAGTCATAAAAAAGAAGGAAGTCTTGCCAATTGCAATGACGTGGGTATAGCTAGAGAGTATATTCCTAAATGAAATAAGTCTGAGAAAGACAAATACCACATGATCTTGCTCATATGTGTGGAATTTAAGAAAGAAAACAAACGAGCAAAGGAAAAAAAAGTGTGACAAACCAAGAAACAGACTATTAATTATAGAGAACAAACTGATGGTTACCAGAGGGGGTAGTGTGGGGGGATTGGTGAAATAGGGCTTGGGATTAAAGAATATACCTATCATGATGAAAATAAAGTAAAATGAAATAATATGTTCAAAATGGGGTAAAGAGATTAGTTTCAAAATAACTGCACTGCAGGACCTAAATGCTGGACTTAGGTAATCAAGACTAAATAAAGGCCAAGCATCATCTCATTGTTATAGTTCAATCATAAGTCAGGGCTATGGGAGCACCTTACTCGACAAAACAGATGTGTTTTGGAAAGTTGGAAAGTTTGGAAAGTTTTACAAATCAAATATTTACATTTTAAATATGTTAGGAGAGTTTAGTAATTAAAGGTATCCTGAAATGAATCTTCCATAATGTTAATGCAAACAAAACAAATATAAACTAATTATATTATGATTAACCACCAATAAAAATAATAGCTAAAGAAACATTTGACAGAATTCAACATCTGTTCATGATAAAAACTTTCAACAAATTAGGTATAGAAGGAATGTACCTCAACATAATTAAGGCAATATGTGACAGCCCACAGCTAAGATCGTACTCAGTGGTGAAAGTTCCAAAGCTTTCCTTCTAAAATCAAGAACAAGACAAATGTGTCCACTCAATACTGCTATTTAGCATTGTACTGGAATCCCTAGCCAGATTAATTAGGTAAGAAAAAGAAATTAAAAGCATTAGAATCAGAAAGAAAGTAGTAGAATCATCTCTGTTTGATTTTATATATAGAAAATCCTAAAGACTTCATCAGAAAAATGTGGGGTAATGGGTAAAAGAAATAGGTGAAGGGGATAAACAGTTAAAAAAAAACAAAAAGATTATCTGAAAAAGAAATAAAGAAAATGATTTTATTTACATTATTTACAGGAGCATCATAACAAAAGTATTTAGGAATAAAATTAACCAAGATGGTCAAAGACTTATACTCTGAAAACTATAAGGCATTGATGAAATTGAAGATTACACAAATAAATGGAAAGATACAGTTCTCATGGATTGGAAGAATTAATATTGTTAAAATGTCCATACTACCCAAGGCAGTCTACAAATTGAAAGCAATCCCTATCAAAATACCATCAGCATCTTTTACAGGCTAGAACAAATAATCTTAAAATTTGTATGAAACCACAAAAGACCTTGAATAGTCAAAGCAGTCTTGAGAAAGAAGAACAAAGCTAGAGGCATCATACTCCCTGATTTCAAATTATACTACAAAGATGTAGTAATCAAAACAGTATGGTACTGGCATAAAAACAGATATATCGATCAGTGGAATAGAATAGCAAGCCCAGAAATAAACCCAGGCTTATGTTGTCAATTAATCTAAGATAAAGGAGGCAAGAATATACAGTAGGGATAAGACAGTCTGGAGTTGGGAAAGCTAGATATTCACTTGTAAAAGAATGAGAGTAGGTTCCAATCTTACACATTCACAAAAGTTAACTTGAAATGGATTAGACTGAAATGTAAGACCTGAAACCATAAAATTCCTAGAAGAAAACATAAAGAAAAAGCTTCTTGATGGGGTCTTTGCTATGACACCAAAGGACAAGCAACAACATAAAAAAAAAATCAACAAGAGGGACTGTATCAAACTAAAATTCTTGTGCACAGCCAAAGAAACAGTCAACAAAATGAAAAGGCAACCTATGGAATGGGAGGAAATACTTGCAAATCATGTATCTGGTAAGGGGTTAATTAAGCCAAAACATATAAACAACTCTGACAACTCAATAGCAAAGCAAACAAACAAAAACCCTCAAATAATCCAATTAAAAATGGGCAAAAGGCTTGAATCAACATTTTTCCAAAGACGATATTAAAATGGCCAAGAGGTACATGAAACTTGCTTAACATCACTAACCATAAGGGAAATGCAATTAAAACCACAATGAGATATTCCCTCAGTTAGAATGGCTTTCATAAAAAGGACAAGATGACAAATGCTGGCAAGGATGTGGAGAAAAAGGAACTTTTGTACACTGTTGGTAGGAATGTAAATTGGTGCCAGTTACTGTGGAAAATAGAATGGAGGTCCCTCAAAAAATTAAAAATAGAATTACCTTATGATCCAGCAATTCCACATCTGGGAATTAATTATCCAAAGGAAATTAAGCCACTATGTTGAAGAGATATCTGCACTCCTGTGTTCACTGCAGCATTATATATAATAGCCAAGACATGGAAACAACTTAATTGTCCATTGATAGATGAATGGATAAAAAAGTTGTGGTATATATATGGTACACACACACACACATATACACATATATACATACATACTGGGATACTATTCAGCCATAAAATACAAGGATATTCTGCCATTTGTGACAACGTGAATGGATCTTTATGGTATCATGCTAAGTGAAATAAAGACATACTGTATGATCTCACTTATATGTGGAACCTAAAAAAGAAACTCCTAGGAAAGGTAATTGGATTTGTGGGGGTTGGGGTAATTGAATGAAGGTAATCAAAACGTACAAACTTCCAGTTGTAAGATAAATAAAAACTGAGGGCATAATGTAAATATGATGACTGTGATTAGCATGGCTATGTGGTATATTTGAAAGTTGCCAAGAGAATAGATCCTATCCTTAAACTCACATAGTGTTGTGTGTCAATTATATCTCAATAAAACTGAAGGGAAAAAATCTCTTGGGTAGTGGAATTGCAAAAAAAAAGAAAAGAAAAGAAAGAAAAAACAAAAAAAGAAAAGAAATATTCAACAGGCACTGAACACATTCTCCTATTGGCCTTAGGTTTGATGCCTTCCTCTCGTGTCCAGGCTGGCTTGGAGCACTGGTCCCTAACTTATATCACTCAGATCTCTGCCCACTTCCCTATCAAGTACTCTGATTAATTTGGTTTATCTTTTATTCTGTCTTTCTAGCTGAATCCTTCAAGGAATTTGCTGAATTGCTCAACGAAGTAGAAAATGAGAGGATGATGATGGTAGGTCACTAACACTGGGGCTTGAACTGGTATCTTGGCTGATATTGGGGATTTTTCTGTCCTCCTTCATTGGATTGATACTCTGTTGTTTCAGTGTCTGTCTCATGGCTGTTTAGAACAGTAAAGATATTTAGGAAGTAGATCTGGTTATTCTATTTTAAGCTTTTACCCTGGGAGTTTTGCATTAGGTAGAAATTAGTGTGGAAATTCCATTTCTGTTCATATCAGCAAGAAGCGGTTTCAAAGGACATTAAACTGGGCTATTGAACATGTGGAAAGAAATTGTGGCCCTTATTGTCCTTAAATTACTCATTTATTTTTCTGTTTCTCTGCTTATAGAAATAAATAATACAGACTTTATTTATATTTGACATATAATTGTTTTATTTAAATCTCTCTGTAGACTTCTCCTTATATTTAAAGTTTATTTCTTAAAATAATAGATTTATTTTTTAGAGCAGTTTTAGTTTTACAAAAACACTGAGTGGAAAGTACAGAGAGATTTCACAGAACCCCTTTCTTCTGTTTTGATTACTGTAGCTTTGTAGTAAGACTTAATGTTAGGTATGAAATTTAGAATCAATTTGTCAGTACCCACAAAATAAATTGATGGGATTTTGATCAGGATTATGTTGAATCTATAGAACAAGTTGGGATAAACTGACATCCTAAGAATATTGTCTTCCTATTTATGAACATGGATTATCTCTCCATTTATTAAACCCTTCTTTGATTTCTTTCATCAGAGTTTTGTAGTTTCCTTACATAGATCTTATATTTCTTTTTTTTTTTTTTTTGGTGAACTCTATTTAGCAGCTTAAAAAAATAATCTTTTTGTGTGGTCCCTAGACCTGCTGCACCAATGTCTCTTAGGAAATTGTTAGAAATGCAGGTCCTCGGCCCCACCCCAGACCTATTTGGACTTAAATGTAGAAGTACCTAAGTTGGTCAATATTTCTTTTTATTAGGGGTGTGAAGGTAATGTTGGAACTTTGTAGAGGGTGATGAGAGGTCTACCTTCCCTTTCTTGATAGGATGATTTCCTGTGGGCAGTTCAGTTTTGTTAAGTCTATTTATTCAATAGCCAGAGTTCTTTAATCTGTCATTACTCATCCTTTTCAACAGTATGATACTGGCTTCTGAGAATCCTGCTGCCATTTCATCTAGGCTCCTAGAGAAGTAGAATTGAAGGCAGGACTTGGATGTAGGGGAAGTAGAGCCTTAGGTTCTAATAATGGCAGTGCTACTAATTGTTGATTTCAAACAAATGGTATTTCGCTGTCTTTCTTTTTTCATATGTATAATGAGGAAAATAACCCCCACCTCCCAAGGTGGTTGTAAGAACTCCAAATGATATAATGAATATGAAAGTCTTCTATAAATAGCAAAAAAATACTTATTAAGTGAGTGTTCTTTGTAGTTAACTTTTGTTACTTCCAAGATTCTGCTTATGGAAATTTGACTTGGGAATTTTCTTAGTTTAAGAGACTTGCTTCTAAGGATATTAAGGAGAGACCAATATGGGTAGTTTCTTTGGAGTCTGGTAGATGGCCACCCTAGCTAATCTACACTCTGCTAAATGTTTTCTTCTGCCTGAAGAATTTGTGGACTACTGCCAATGTTGATCTCAAAGGCATTCAACTCCATTTCATTCATGTACCACTAGAAAACTCAGCTATACTTCTCTTCAGCCCTAGTTGTTTCTTTCTTTTTTCCCTTGAGATCATGAGTGACTTTAATCAAGAAAGCATTTCTTTTTTTATTATTATGTTATGTTAATCACCATACATTACATCATTAGTTTTTGATGTAGTGTTCCATGATTCGTTGTTTGTGTATAACATCCAGTGCTCCATGCAGAACGTGCCCTCCTTAATGCCCATCACCAGGCTAACCCATTCCCCCACCCCCCTCCCCTCTAGAACCCTCAGTTTGTTTTTCAGAGTCCATAGTCTCATGGTTCGTCCCCCCCTCCGATTTCCCCCCCTTCATTCTTGCCCTCCAATCACAGACCTGTACCTCGGTACCTAGTTGTTTCTTGATCTCTTTTATTTACCCAATTACAAAGCTCTAAAATATTAAAGTAGGACTCATCTTTTGAGACATTGTTTTTCTCACCCTTCTTGCTGGCTTTTTTCCACAGGAGTGACTCATTTTCTTCTGTCTCTCATTATGTTGTGCCTCTTTGTCCCCACAACTCTTCAATCATGTATTGAGTGTTGGCTCCCCATTTCCCGTTTAATTTTAGGAATGCTGTGAAGGTTAGGCTCAATGAGGGCCTTTCACAACATGCCAGGAATTCATTGCTTCACTGCACCTCTCCCTTTTCCTAGAACTGTGGTAAAAGGACTTCTTACCCCACTATGGATAATATGGGAGGTGTTAAATAGCTTCTTTTCCTTTCTATAAGAAGAGGCCAAAAGAAGCTTTAGAACAGGAAGTTCACAGCTCTAGCCTGTGATAATTGCAAATGTCTAGTCATTCTTGTAAATGAACTTAAATTGTGGAAGGAATTATGGAGGAAAGTTTTGAAGAGGGGCATTCCAACTGTGATGTTCTTAAATAGTACCCTGTGGGATATTGTATTACCTCAGAAGTTGGCCTTGAAAAGTTTGGATAACAGATTTCCTGTATGATTAACGTTTTGCTTGCCTAGGTGCCTTTCTGACTCTGAAGGCGACCCTGTTAGCAATGTGCAAGGTCTGTCTTTGAGGACTGCGAAGAATGACCTAAAGAGACCCATACTATTTCAAGCAGTATATCCTCAATGACTTCTTTTGGTAATTAGTTATCCATCAAAGATTCATGAACAATCCTACACTGCTGGATCGAGTACCATCTCTAATCTGCTAAATGCCCTACCTAGTGTTAATTGGGATTCATACAATAGGAACCTGATTAGCTAAACTCACTAATGTGTTGTTTAGAGTGTCACTTATCATGCTGGGGGTTCTACCCTGGGATAGGAGGTAGGAACTTTTCTGCTAGAGAGCTTATGAAATGGGTGTAGTGATCAGAAAGGGGAATAAAGATCATGTTTAATTAAAAGGGCTTTTTTTGAATAGTTGCTAGACTTCTAAGAGATTTGAGGATAAAACGAAATAAAAAAAAAAAGTCAAGCTTCAGTGTGATCTTTTCCTACATATCTAGCTCTGTGTTCTGGCAGAAAGTATTATAATAACCAATGAGTGTCAAAGAGAGGAAATGCTCAGCGTATTTATTTGTGTTGTAGGAGACTGGTAGCAGTATTATAATCAATGTGATCAAGTGAGAACTATGGCGTCCAATTTCAGTGAATCATGTGCTAGTTTTCTTGACAGAGACAGGGCCAAACATACAAAAAGCAGTGGCCTTATGGACCTGTGTAAGAAGTTGCTGGCACACCTGCTTATACAAGAAAATCCCCTTTGAAGCATAAAAACTGGCAACTGTACCATTCTTGGGTTGCCTGTGCATGCAAGGGCTCAGCTGAAAGTCCATATAGAAGTTTGACACATACTACTCTCCTTAGAAATGGCATGTTCACTTCGTATTCAAAGGCAAACTTCTTCAATGTGTCCCAGGTAACCACTTTTTGTGTGTTACCTTTGTGAAAGTGGAAATAGTTTTTCTAATTATCTGTTGCTGCACAACAACCTATTCCAAAATGTAGTGGCTTAAACTAAAACCATTTAATTTTATCTCATTATGTTGTGGGTCAGGAATTCAGATAGGGATCAGCTGGGTAATTTTTCTGCTTCATGTGGTAGTATTCACCTGGGAGGTGGGTTGAGGTGGAGAGTCCAAAGCAGTCCAAAGCTTTGCTCACCTATCAAGCATCTTAGTGGAATGGCTGGGAGGCTGGGCTCAGCTGGACTTTTGATCAGAAAGTGTATGTTTGGCCTCTCTCGGTAGGTAGTCTCAGGATAGTCCAGCTTCCTATAGGGTAGCTCAGGGCACCCCAGGGGAAATGTTCCAAGAGACCCAGGTGGAAGTTGCTGGCCTTTTATGACGTAGTCTGAGAAGTCACGTAGTGTCACTTCTGCTATACTCTATTGGTTCAAAGAAGTAATAAACCCACTCATATTTAAGGTAGAGGGGACAGCGACCTCACCTCTCAGTGGGGAAAGTATCTCAAAATTTGTGGCCATGTTTTAAAACTTGCACAAAAGGAGAGAAGAAAAATGACTCTCTGTACTGGATCTATGACATTAATGACATAATTTGTTTCCAGGTATGTACACAAAGTTGATTATCACATATCTCACAGTCCATAGAACTATAGAGTGTGTTGGGCAAGAGAGATGTGCTAATACTTTTTTTAAAATTTAAATTCTATTAGCATACAGTACATCATCAGTTTCTGATGTCATGTTCAGTGATTCATCAGTCGTGTATAACACCCAATGCTCATCCCATCATGTGCCCTCTTAACTGAGCTAGTACTTTTAATAAAAGAATTCTTTTTTTTAAATATCTTTTATTTATTTATTTATTTATTTATTTATTCATTCATTCATTCATTCATTCATTCATTCATTCATTTGAGACACAGAGATACAGAGAGAGAGAGAGAGAGCATGAGCAGGGAGAGAGGCAGAGGGAGAGGGAGAAGCAGGCTCCTCGCTGAGCCAGGAGCCCGATGCGGGGCTCGATCCCAGGACCCTGGGATCATGACCTGAGCCGAAGGCAGATGCTTAACCATCTGAGCCACTCAGGTGCCCCTAATAAAAGAATTCTTATTTTTGATCAAGGAGAATCACTGATGTCCTTATTTTTGGTACTAGGGCTTCTGGTAGAGCTTGATTGGATGAGAGTTTGGCCATTTAGTTGAACTCTGAATCATACCTGGACGCAAAACAGGAGACCCAAAGTGCCTGCAGGACACAGATTAAAAAATACGTACTAATGCGCCAACCCCAAATGCCCATGCATTTTGGTGGTAGTTTAAAAACTGCTTCTTGGGATGCCTGGATGGCTCAGTCATTAAGCGTCTGCCTTCGGCTCAGGTAATGATCCCAGGTCCTGGGATCGAGCTCCGCATCGGGCTCCCTGCTCGGCGGGAAGCCTGCTTCTCCCTCTCCCACTCCCCCTGCTTGTGTTCCCTCTCTTGCTGTCTCTCTCTCTCTGTCAAATAAATAAATAAATAAAAGTCTTTAAAAACTGCCTCTTAATCTGGAGAATACAGGACTGGTCAAAACTGGCTTTCTACTGTTTTTTTCTACTTTTGTTATGAAGATATATCTTGTCTTACTGACACTTTATGTCTCATTTGACAAAGAAGGCAGTACCTCATTTCCCTGTCTTATCTCAAAATTAGTGCAATGGGTCCTAAAATCCAGCCCTTCAGATGTATTCTCTTAGGTCCTCCATTAATGTACAGCTGATTCACACCACTGAAGAAAAACAAACCCCACTTGTTGCCTTGGATAGATGCAATCTTTCAAGAGGTTTATATGAACACAAATCTTTGTATATCTCTGCCTGCCCACTGAGCAAGGGGTCCAGTTTGCAAATGGTGTTTTTATATCTCTAGAACCATATTAATGTCAATATTTTTCATTCTTGGACAGGCTGTTTTTATCAGCTTTGGAGCTGATGCCTACATTTGTAGGTAATTTGAAGGCCTGATCCAGTGCTCTCTGTGATGCTGTAATATACTCCTAAGTTCTGAAGAAAATGTTCTGATTTTTATGACACACCCTGGCAGGACCGGAAATAGTTTATCCTGGGATTTATCCTGATGCTATTACTGCTAAATCATTTGCCTCCCATGAAATGGTTTGCATTTGGTGCAATTGGTATTTTCAAACATTTTCCATTCTCTTTCTCTTTTCCACATATACTTCAGGCCCCCTGTATCTGTTTCTGGACATGACTATAGATACTTATTGATTAAAAACTCAGATCAGACTACCAGTAAGTTACAGAGAAATGCCCCTAATGTCGCTTCTCTCATTTCCTCTCAAAACATTTGATTTTAAGAGACCAGTATGGGAAAAAAAGACAGTAACAACAATGAAAAAAACCCACAAATCAATTTACATTTTGCAGGTTGATGTATTACAGGGTAATGCCTTAGTAACAAGGAAACTGAATCTGAACCTTTCTAATCTGAAAGTTGTTTTGTGTGTTCTTTCTTTTTTTCTAGGTACACAATGCTAGTGATTTGCTGATTAAACCCCTGGAAAATTTTCGGAAGGAGCAAATAGGCTTTACCAAGGTACATTTTCTCCAAATGTATAAGATATTTTTTATACCTGAGTAGTTTGGGCTACCACTCTTCACTCTTTAGGGGTGAGGAGGGTTCATATATATACGAAAATTCATTCAAAAAAGTGAGAAAATCTGAAATTGGCTCCTGGCTATGTTTCCAACGAGCTGTGCAACTGTGGACAAGTTTCTTCTCTTTTTGGAGCTTCAGTTTCTCCATCTGGAAAATGAGGAGCTTGATAATAGGCATTATTTAAAGGGCACTTACTATGTGCTTGCTAAGCACTGGGCTACATGCTTTACATTCATTCTCTAATCACAACAGTTGTGTGAGGTTCTGGTATTTTCCACATTTTACAAATGAGGCAGCTGAGGTTTGGGCAAGATAAAAAAAACCTGACCAAAGTTGTATAGTTAGGGACAGTAGCCAGCATTTAGACTTTAGGATTTCTTTTAGCTTTAAATCCCACATTCTTTCCATTAAGCCCTACTATGTAGATATTTGCTGTCCAATATGGTATCCATAGCTATATAAATAAAATAAAATTAGCAACTCAGTTTCTCAGTCATGCTAGTCACATTTCAAGTGCTTGGTACCTACATGTGGCTACTAGCTACTGTGTTGGATTGCACAGACATAGAACATTTCCGTCATTGTAGAAATTTCTACTGGACAGCACTGTGCCAGATAATCTCAGATTATTTCCAGCTTGATCACTCATGGATCTGGCTCCCCAGTGTCTCATAAAGAGGTACGAAAAATTGTTAAATTTCTTCTTTTCAGCTAAGAATAGACCTATTTTTTGAACTCCAGTATGTATGCAACATGTAACCTAGATAGTCTTCCAGAACTAAATGTAGCATCTTGACTAAGCATCTGGTCCTAAAAAGGATTGAGAACACACCATCTGGTTATTATCTGGAATATTGTGACAGCAAGCAGTTTGGATTGAAGAGAGCAAGTTGAGAGAGGAAAGAGGAAAGACGAGATTAGTGGATGTGATGTCACTGTTGGATGTCATCAGTCAGCTTGACCTGGGTATTATTTGAATGACTGCCATTCAGGCTAACTGAGTTAATATGGATAGCCCAGCAATTCTGGATTCTACTTGATATATCTGGAATCTCATTAATGTAAGTACTTAATTGGGAAAATATATAATTGAAGGAGGGAAGAACCTTTAAAATCATAAGTGTGGTATGAAAATAGTTAAGTGATATGACATTTGTTACATAACAATGAATCTTTATGAAGAAGGACAGATAATGTGAAAATCTTCACATAGTCTACTTTCACTCCTGGATGAGATTAGGAAAAAGGAAAGTAAGAATATGCTGCAGTGGTTGATTGACCTCATGTCATCTGAGGGAAAGGAAACAAATATCTATTATATATTTCCTATGTCCCAGGCCTGTGCTGAGGATTTTACATGTGTTGTCTTCCTTAATTCTTACAGCAAACCTATGAAGTAGGATGTATAATATCCATTATCTCAATGAAGAAACAGACTCAGAAAGGTTATATTCTTATATTCCTATCGGTCTTTTTTTTTTTTTTTCCTACTTCCTTACCGTAGGGTCAACTTGTACACCTAAAAGGCGAGTGACCAACTCTCAGGGTGAGGGCTGTTTTCAAGAAACTATCTAGAATTATCCTGGTAGTAAGTAAAATTTAGGGTAATAGAAAGAGCAGTGAACTAAGGACTAGAAAATGCAGGTTCCCGTCTACCCCTGTGTTTTCAAATTATTGCCTATCAGTTCCAACACTTCTCAATACCTATTCTGTGAAAATGGATGGAATTCCTTTAAGCATCTCTCCTTTACAATGATCAAGCTGTAAAGCTTTCTCAGGAGATGGTGCTGGAGGGATATTGCAGGAGGAAGGGGCTCTCCTGAAGTTTCCAACTGCTGCAAAGTGGGGGTCAGTAGAGAGGGAGTGAGCTATCTGGTGGGGGCTCTGACCCAGCCACACATCTAGAATACATGGCCCCTCAGTGCCTTTGAAGCCTCTGCCTGGCCTGGCGATAACTTATCTGCGGATCTCTCAATTTAGGTCTCTCCCTGAAGGCCTCCCCACTCATTCTGTCCCCCAGCTCCCCTCTGTAGGCCCCACACCTCTCCCACCTGCTGACTGAAGGTTTATAACAGAGCTGCTGCTCCCTGCTTCCTCTGCAAGCCCCCATACAGCCTGCTTGCTCCTTAGGGGGTTCCTACTGAGGCAGGCTGGTCCTGCAAAGCTTATTGGTAACCTAAAAAGTTCCCATTCTCTCTCTATTCCTACTCCACTAGTTGCTGCTTGCTCCCCCACCTACACTCTGGAGAGTTGTCTCCTGCTTACCTAGTGACTCTAGAACACCAGGCCAAACCAATTTAAGCTAACTTCTCTGCTTAAATTACACCTTTTCCAATGAGTTTGGAGCCCCTTCCAAATTTGCCCTTCCATGGGTACCCTCCCTCAGCCTCAGGGTACTGTAAAGAATTTCCTTATATATTACAGTTAGTTTTTTTTCTTTTAGTTTAATACGTTTGGAGTTTAATAAATCTATATAGTGGTTTTTATCTTTTGATTGGGCCCAGACTGATACACCCAGCACTGCTGCTAGTTGGCTCTGTGACTTAACTGGTAGTGGAAAATGCTTTGCTAGGCCCTTACAAATAAAGATGTATGTTCTCATTTGAACCTTGTAAAGTAGAACTTATTGTCCTTTTTTACTGATGAGGACACTAAGATTCAGTGAGGTGTAGTGTTAAAGTCATTCAACCAGGAAGTGGCAGAGCTTGGATTTGAATTCATTTCTCTCGATTGTAAGTCTGGGGGAGAAAAAAAAAAAAGCCTTGAATTCCAGGTCGCAGGTCCAGATGGAGCTGCTGCAGGTACATATCTTGGTAATACTCCATGGAAAAATTTAATGGTTAAAATGAAGGGTTCCTTGGGGCACCTGGCTGGCTCTGTTGGTAGAGCATGTGACCCTCGATCTTGGGGTCATGATTTCAAGCCCCATGTTGGACATAGAGATTACTTTGAAAAAGGGGGGGGAGGAATTCCCTGTTACCCATCCACTAAGCATGGCCTGCTAAGAGGGACAATGCTAAGTTGATGTCTTCTGCTTTTAGAGGGCAACATACACCACAAGTGGATGTGCTACTTCAATTTGCCAAGTAACCCAAAAGCTTTGAGCCTAGAGGAAAAGCAAAACAAAAACTTTTGCAGCAGGGTAGGGTCCAACTTAGTCTGCCTGCATGTTCTGAGAAATAACTCCAATTTTTTATGCTCCAGTTCAAGGAGTCACCTTTTTTAATAAAGGCAAACTCACATGTCCAGTATTTCATAAAAAATGATGCAATTCTCCATGTAAATATGGTCAGCAGAAATTATGCAAGTAGTATGAAAAGTAGGCCATTATTTTTCCCCACAAGGATCCCAAAGGAAAAAAAAAGATAGCACTTCTCTCTTGGCCTCAGTTTTCTCGTATGTACAAGAAAACCAATGGACAAATAATCCTTAATCTAATCTGTGTGAGATCCTAGGGGTAATTAACTAAAAGTGCATCTGTTCAGTAGTAGAAATTGGCTAGTCAGAATTTACTGTGCTGTAAATGTAAAATATGTGCTAGATTTTGAAGATGGTGTGAAAAATGTAAAATATCATTAATATTTTATATTGATCACATGTTGAATGGTATTTTCGATATAGTGGGTAAAATAAGATATATCATTGAAATTAATTTCACTTGTTTCTTTTTCCTTTTCTTAATATGATTACTAGAAAGGTAAAAATTATAGATATGGCTTGCATTAGATTTCTATTTGGTAACACTGAACTAAACAATGTAAGTACAGTTGAATTATTTGTTTAATAACTAGAGGTTTGTACTTCTTGATTCCCTTTATCCATTTTACCCATCCCCCCCACCCAGCTCCCCTCTGGCAACAACCAGTTTGTTCTCTGTATTTAAGAGTTTCTTTTTGGGTTGGTTGGTTTGTTTCTTCGTTTGATCATTTGTTTTGTTTTTTAGATTGCACATGTAAGTGAAATCATATGGTACTTGTGTTTTTCTGACCTTATTTCATGTAATACCCTCTACGTCCATCTATGTTGTCACAAATGGCAAGATCTCATTCTTTTTTATTGCTGAGTAATATATACCACATCTTATTTACCCCTTCATCTATCAGTGGACACTTGGGTTGCTTTCATACCTTGGTTATTATAAATAATGCTGTTGTAAATACAGGGCTGCATATATCTTCTTGAATTAGTGCTGTTTTTTCCTTTGGGTAAACACCCAGTAGTGGGATTACTGGATCATGTGTTATTTCTATTTTTGATTTTTTGAGGAACCTCCATACTGTTTTCCACAGTGGCTGCACCAGCTTACAGTCCCAGCAGCAATGCAAGAGGATTCCCCTTTCTTTCTCTGCATGCTTGCCAACACCTGTTGTTCCCTGTGTTGCTGATTTTAGCCTTCCTGACAGGTGTGAGGTGGTATCTCATCCTGGTTTTGATTTGCATTTCCCTGATGATGAGTGATGTTAAGCATCTTTTCTTGTGACTATTGGACAACTAGGTGTCTTCTTTGGAAAAATGTCTGTTCAGGTCCTCTGTCCATTTTTTAATTGAATATTTGCTTGTTGATATTGAGTTGTACAAGTTCTGTATACATTTTGAATACTAACTCCTTATCAGATATACTATTTGCAAGTATCTTCTCATTCAGTAGGTTGTCTTTCATTTTGTTGATAGTTTCCTTTGTTGTGCAGTTTTTTATTTTGGTGTAGTCCCAATATTTTATTTTATTTTAGTGTTCAGTAATTTATCAGTTGTGCATAACACCCAGTGCTCATCACAACACGTGCCCTCCTTAATGCTCATCACCCAATTACTTCATCCCCCCACCCATCTCCCCTCCAGCAATCCCCAGTTTGTTTCCCAGAGTTAAGAGTCTCTCATGGTTTGTCTCCCTCTCTGATGATTTTCAGTTTTCCTGCCCTTCCCCTATGATCCTCTGC